ACTCCCTCCGTAACTTAAAGATCTTCCCACTTTCCTTTTTCGTCCGTAACAAAAAGATCTTCTCATTTCTAATTCTTCTCATCATACCCTCAATAATTCGGGTTTAATGCACGAAACCTCCTCGTGAAATATAAATTCAGCACATTAGCCCCTTGTGATTTAAAAAATGCATCAAACCCCCATGTGTTATAATTAATCATACGCAAAATCCCTTCCAAAAACAAATTTTACAATTTTGAACTCACTTTTTTTAATAATATGGTTGAATATGCAAGTAACTTTGTCAAAATTTCTAAATTATATAAAAAAACTAACCATTTTTCATTTTTTGAAAATTAAATTTGATCTTGGAGGGGGTTTGGCGCATGATTAATTATAACACAGGGAGGTTTGACGCATTTTTTATATTACAGGGGGATAATGCGCCAAATTTATATTTCACGAGGGGGTTTGGTGCATTAAATCCCAATAATTCTTAAAATAATACACTATTACAACTACTTTTTTTGGATTTATCCTATATTCCATAACATTTTTTCACTATCTTCTCATCATACCTTCAATAATTTATATCCTACTTTTGAAATGGGAAGATCTTTATCTTAGGGAGGGAGTATTATTTTGATCACATAATAGGGAGTATTTCTTATTTTGAGGCCATTTTGTCACTAAATCATTCTTAGAAATACCCTTTTATTTATGCAATTGCTTATTTAGAGCTCTGATCATTTGGGGTTTGAGTGCAAGGTGAGAATGGCAGCAGCGAGAGCCACGACGGGAATGCTTTCCCGGGGAATATTTCGGACAACCAGATCCTTACTCCGGATACGGTTTTCCCAAGCGCCGCCGCGAACCTGTGCCTTTGGTTGGAGCCCCTTCCTTGTATTGCGCCCCATCAGTTGCTCTCCCATCCTGTGCAAGGCATACGAATGCATCGATGGAGACGGCAAGAAGTCTCCGGCGAGGATGGCTCAGGTACAGCAGCTTATGCATGAAGCCACCGAGCGTGCTCACGACGCTGGCAATGATCCTATCCCTAACATCACAATCGGTATGCCCGCAGCTCCCACTTAAATCTTCTGCCTTCTGTTTTCGCAATTGAATTGGAGAAATTCTAGCACCGCTTGTGTACATTTGCGTTCTCAATTCGCACCCCTTCAGCCTTTTATTTTAGAAAAATTATTACTGGACTGCACTGTACACAAATACACAATAATGAATGAGGTAGGTTAAGGGGAAACCAAAACTACGAAGAGAAGGTGAAGCAGAAGTCCATCATTCCATGTTCATTTGGGTTGTCTCTTTTATTACTGTTATTTTTAATTTATTACTAGTATGTTACACATTGATTTTGTAATTATTTACGAAATAATGACCAATGAACAAAAATGCAAGTTTTTATACACACTCACCATAATACTAACTGCACTATTAACATACTTCATAGTAACTGTTTATTTATTCATTTATGTACTCATTTTTTTCATATATTAAAAGTAGTATGTATTTCATCCCTTTAGGTAGAAGACTCCAACCTGTGACTTTTTATGGAGACAAGGGTCAATTGAATTGAGTACATCAAGTTGTATGAGATGGAGTAAATAGTACACTATATTGCTAATAAGTTGACTTCTTGAATGCCAACGCTAGCCCCTAGCCCCTTGGACCTTGGTCAACATCAGTCCCCCGCATGTCGACTTCCCCTTGGTCAATGCACCCCGCAAGTCAATGCCCCTTAGGTATACGGGTATACCTCTAAAAGTCGATGCCAGGACCTTGATTGACTTCCCTTTTTAGGTCAACTTCCTAAAGGTCGACCCCAGAACCTTGGTCAACTTCCCTTGATTGACTTCCCCTTCTTACTCAACATCCTATTAGCTAACTATGTCAATTAACGTGTTAATGTAACGAGTACTCAAATAACACTAAAAATGAAGTTTATGTACTTAGAAATATATGATGCAATATAGTGTACTTTTTACTCCATCTCGTACAAATTGACGCACTCGTCGTATTGAATTGATCATTTTCTCCACTTTTTATGTTTTCCCATATAATATATCCTAAAGTACCATTCATTCATATCTATAATTGATCAGGTATTCTCGAGTCCTATACAAATAACTACTACTAGTCTACTACAACAACTACAATAATAATAATAAGTAGAATTGTATTAGAGCTGCCTAATTATTTTCCATGGTATTCCGATGACAATCATGGGACCTGTTAAAATATCTAATTAATCAGGACATCCTAACCTTACCAACTTAGGTTTTATGGTTACAGCGCATACTCTAGCCATGTTGGACTTGTGTTTTTCTTTTCTGTTAAAATAGTCTTCTTCCATGCTAATATCTGTCTTTGCCTTCTTATTACAAATCTAGATCATGTTACTGTAAGCTTTGCGAGAAGTGGTGGCCCTGGAGGTCAAAATGTTAACAAAGGTCTCTGACAATGAAGTATTCTATAACTTCCTTCAAGAATCCCATCTTTCTTCCAGTATATATACGATTATTGCTCCCCCCATTTGCTTGCAGTTAATACAAAGGTGGATATGCGGTTCAATGTACAAAATGCACATTGGTTAAGTGACAGGATTCGAGAGAAAATTTTGCAGAAGGTGAATTTTCATTTTCTGCATTTGATTGACGCTAAAAAGTTCTTTTTTTGTTTATGCATTTTTTGTGAGGCTTCATATTAACGGAATGACAATATGTATCAAGAAGAATATTCACATCATCTTTAATGATTTGGGGCAATGTACTCCCTATTCCCCAAAATATCTTTAAATATATGCCAGTATGTTAATCTTTCAAAATTAAATATAAAAAATCAGTTGGAACAAATATGTGAAATAAATATTGAGGTTGGACCTGTCTTTCTTCCCCTACAAATTTAAATATATGCCAGTATGTCTTTCATACATTCTTTCCTGGGTATATCCCGTGTTCCGAACAGACCGTTAGGATTATGATAAACATAGTGAATGATACATTTGTATCTTCTATTCAAATTCTAGAAAGATTTAAAAGGAAGGGGCTAAAAGAAGCAGCACAAAGCAACAGGACTAATTTGCTTACGACTTGATACCTTTGGGTTGTAAGCAGGAAAAAAATCGGATCAATAAAGATGGAGAGCTTGTGATATCTTCAACTAAGACCAGAACACAGAAGTAAACCTCTTCCTACTAATTGGCCCTTTTCCCTCAATTAATTAGTTACAATTCAGCTAAAGTTGCTATTGTTTATCCAGAGGTAACATTGAAGATGCCTTGAGTAAATTACAGGTACTGATTGGTAAGGTTTCTGTTTCTCTTATTAATTATCTTTCCCATCTGCTCAGAACTGTAAAAAAACACCCTTGATGGCCAATTCATCATGTGTTTGTAAGGCCAAGCAGAGATGTGTCTTTGAGCACTGCAAAGTTGGACTGTGATACTAAGCTGAATACAAAACTACTACGGAGTAGTTTTTATTCTTTTTATAAAATAAAACTAAATTTAAAGAAGACATTTTGACAAAATATCTACGAAAAGATAAATTATTGAGTGTCAATATTCATTCCTGTTTTCGTCCATTTTTTTCATTTCTACCTCCATATTTTCTTCCTCTAGTATTTCCGGGGTTCCAAAAATCGAAATAGACCCGTATTGGTAAGGCAAGGCTTCACGGTTACATTTGGTTCTTGCTGAAGACTAATACACTACTTGTACAGGAAAGTAATGGGCCTTAGGATGTGATGAGTTAGAGCCTATGGTTTCTATTACCATATAGAAACCTACCGTATTACTTATTATACTTTTACATACTCCACAATTGCAGGCTATCATTGATGCTGCTTCTTATGTCCCACCACCTCCGTCTGAAGAGCAAGTGAAAAAAATAGCAAAGTTGTAAGAATTCGCTTGCCAAACAATATTTGCAGTAGCAAACAATAGTTGTGGGATTGCAATTTGTTTATGATAGCGTTCTCAATTTTCTTAGGATTGCATGGTGCTACAGTTATTAGTATAGATTTACCAATAACCACTGCCCCCCGCCATTAAGGTGACGTCCATTTGAGGAAAATCTGAAAGAAAAGTATGGGGGAAATAAGTTAAAATGCAATTAATAATTTTTTAATAGATGTTTGTTGATATACATTTTATTTATTTGTGCACATGGAGTGTAAAAACTAATATACTCCAATTAATGTGTAAAAGAGTGAAAGAAACTGTCAATTCCGTATGCATATTCTAAAGTGAAACCCAACATAAAAACTTTCAACGATACCCTTTTACCCTTTCTATAGATTTTTAGGTGCATTTGTTTTTTCTATTCTTCAACAGAGCGGCAGCAGGGGAGCGCAAGCGCCTTGACAACAAGAAGGCTCTTTCACAGAAGAAGAGTATGAGAAGAAGCCGCGATGGTTGGGATTGATTTGTTTGGGAGGTGCAACAATATTTGGTTCATAACTATAACAGAATGCATATTTTAGTTCTTCAGCTACATATAGTCATATAGAGAATAGATTTCAAGCAAAAATGGAGGCGAGCTTCATTTGTTTCAACCCACCCATGTATTCTGTTATGTTACTTGCAGTATAAATACTCTGTAAGAATTTGGGATAATATATATATATATATATATATGTATGTTTAATTTGGCGTAGTTATCTTCAAAAAATTATTTGAGTGTCTTTCCGATCGAATTTTTAGCTGAATTTTTTTGTGGATAAATTAGACTTGATGAGGAACATTCCATAAAAAGTTCTATAAAAAAACTCCACCTGGACGGCGGCGGCTGGACATATCCATGCGCAGCTTTTTTCCTTAAAATTTATTGAAAAAGCATCGTGTTTACAACTTTACATATGTTGGTGATAACGCCAAAGCTGCCCTTCTGGGGAGCAGCACAATCTTCATTTTCTTACGTCTTTATATACAGGACATAATTGCAACTAAAATGATACAATTAGTGATTAGGGAAAAAGGAACAATCCAAATTATGAGGTATAGTTACAGATCAAGTTGTTGTTTTCGCATTATCTAGAAAGAGCTAAAGATTGGGTTAATTTTTTCTTGGTTCATTTTCGGAAAAGAAATTCTTCACCGGATTCCTCGTCAAAATGCTTGATCCACTTTCTTCCACCGCCAACGGTGGCCCCCACGTGTGCGATGTCGAGACCCTTCCCTACCGGCAAAAGCACAGAGCGGACGATTCTCGTTTTCCCGTCCAGAACGCTCCGCCACCTGAAATCGGAAACAACCCTAGAACTGGCGTTCTTGCATATCAGCACCGCCCCTCTGTGGCCCAGTTTCGCCACCCTAAGTATTCTGGAGAACTCGGTTCGCCGGCAATCCACCACCAAGAAGTCTATCCCGGCAAGCCTCTCCATGGCTTCCTCCGGCTGGCCTACGATGATCTCCGGCCGCACCCCGGCGCTATGCATCGCCTCAGCGTACTCTTCCCGCGATTCGTGATCTGGAACGACGCAGACGTGGCGGCCTCCGGCGTAGTGGCTGGCCACCCCAAGGCCGACGCTCGTGGCCGTCACTCCTCCCTTGGACCACGTTTCTACGATGAGCTGTGCGTCCCATCCGGCCGCCATCGCTGATACCAACTCCGCTACGCTCGATTCCTGAAACAACTCACCCTACATCCGAATTTAATTACTTTATCAACAAATCAGAAGCAGATCAATTAAAAAAAAACGATTCTTCGTGCTTATATTTTAAAACTGTAAGAATATATACTTACCGATTTAACAGTATCAAGGTAAGCCTTGGAGGCCCTTTCCGGGGACCAAACAAGCTTCATCTTATGTCTCCTCTTTTTTATTCTGTTACTTGATGAGATTCAAAAGTAATTTACTCGTTAATGCGTTGCTTTGCGGGCAAGTTCGAGGAGATAGAAGGGAAACAATTGGATTATTTTAAGCTTGGAAAGCGACTCTCTAGAAAGGGTATAATTTATAAGGGGAAGGGTGAGCAGTAGAAATGGTCATATCAGCCGTTCACCGTTGACATTTATTTATGAAAGTATTATTATTATTTTTTTTTGAATGATTTATGGAGTTTTATAACTTTTATTACGAACTACTGTATATATATTTATAATGCTAATGATTTTTTTACAGAAAAGTCCACGTGGAGATTAGGCTCTAAACTCGTACGGAGTATAAGTCATGCACTTTTTTTCAAAAAAAAAGTTAAATTATTAATTTATCGAATTGAGCTGTCAATCAGTCATCTCCCATTCGTTATCTGAAATTATCATGAAAATGGCGAGACTTCGTGTATACACCGAAAGGCTTACACGTCATGTTTAATCTATACATACACATTTTCCTTTTCTAAGATAGAATTGCAAAAAAAGTCAAAAACTTGATTGTGACAAAAATAAATGTTTGTAACAGTCAATTTATCCTAAGAAATGAAAAATTATCAACAAAGAAAATGAGGAGTGGAAATGACGTGTAAACATTTAAGTGTGTATAAAAAGAATTTAGGTGAAAACTCCGGTACCCATTTAAAAAATGGGGTACCGTACCTGGCCAACCATGCATTTGATTGGTCCAAATCATTATATCCTTTTAAATTTAAATTTAAATAATTCAACTGCATCATCTGATTGGTCCATGTGGATAAATGTATGATACCTTAAGGGTACCATAGAATCTACCAAAAATTTATTAAAAATACTTTTCGCTTTTTGTAAACACTTTCTATACCTATAAATATATTCTTTTTTTTTACTATTCGACTTTTTTGCTATTCCACTTTTACATTTTACCCATCCTCTTCCCATCCTTTCCCTCTCTCCTCTTTTTTCCCATATGATTCTCCTCCCAATTCACTCTTTTTGCCATTTTGGTGTATTTTTATCACCTTTGTCTTTCACCATCTTCACTCTTTATCCTCTTGTTCCTTCTTCCATCATTATCATCTTACATCATCATATTCATCACTTGCAATCTTCTCTGCTTCATCTTCTACGGAGTATTTCTTAAGTTTCGTCACAGATGGTGAGTCGTCGAAAAATCAAATTGGAGATCAACAATCGTTGAAACTATTGTTTGTGTCATCTATAAAATATTGTATGTGTGATCCTAGATATTAGTAAAATTTGCTTGTATAAAGAAATAAAAGTAAAAAATAGTATATATCTATGAAGTTAAGCCACAAACAAAAAAATGTTTGTGCACAAATAATCGAAGGAGAATGTTTGCTGGATTTTTTGTTTGTGTAATATTGTTTGTGTAGCGTTGAATATTTATATAAATTGTAAGTAGGAAAAAATGAAACTGAAAAACTACTTTTTTGTAAAGTTATGCCACATAAAAAATATTTATAATCGCATGTCATCCGCATCGATTTGTGTTCTTTTTCGTAGAGAAGTTATGATTAGGTTGCATAGAAACCAATGTGTGCACACACGCAAGTTTTTGGTGTACAAATATTAGTTATCTACAATAGGCAAAATTGTTAAGCACAAACAAAAAATGTAGAAATTATCTGTGTACAGACAACTAATGTCTATGCACAAGTATTGGTTTCCGTGCAAGCAGACACTGTAGTTTTAACAAAAAAAAAGCGCGCAAACCAATGTCCATATACATGCATTAACCGTTTGCGACATACGAGAATGTTTGTACGGTTGTACCCATACATTTTTTCAAAGCCCACAAGAAAGTAGAACAGTCGAACTGGTTTACGGGTGTACGTCGATTGATATATTCCAGATCCAAGCTTATACTTTTCTCCATTTTTCTCGGGCTTGAGCTACCAAATTGGAAGTTAAGAGAATGGTATTACTGTTTTTTTAGTTTGATAAATATAATTTGTCCATACCATTAACTGCTTCCCTGATCAATCTGCTTCCCGTAACTTACAAATATCAGTAATACCATTCGTTCCAAACACTCGGTAAACACTTCAAGCTCCAAATCTACTCCAAACACTCTGTAATACCATTCGCTCCAAATGTCCAAGCTCCTTTTCAATTTGGAAGTTAAGGGAGCCTATGCCGTTACACAACAACCTCATTCATCTGAGAAGCTTATCCCAACCTTTTACACATCTACCTCAGAGAAGTCCAAAGTGGACCCTTCACATCTTATGCAAGCAGATTTTCCGAACGATAATTTCGACACTACTCCAAGAAATCTCCCATCGGAACAAGAAGCATTGGATCGGTTGACTGAGATCAAAATTGCTTCCATTCCAAAGAGGAGGATCATTCGCATTCGATCCAAGATTGCGCATGCTCTGCATTAATTTGTTAGGTTCCCTAGACTAGTATCTTTTCATTTTGGTTCCTTTTCTTTTCCGGTTCCTTTTCCTTTTCTTTCAATGCTTTGTTTTTCTTCTTTACTTGCATTGTACTTCTTTCTATTACCAATAAAGTTTTTTCTTTCTTTAGAAAAATACTGAATGGTATTTCAAAAATATTAAGAATTTATCACTCTTTTATTTTTAGATTTGATAACTTTAATTTTAAGTCTAATTAAATATTCTACACTATGCCGACATTACAAAAATGTTAGGAATTTGTGATTCTTTTTTCTTATTAAATTTGATAAGTTTAGTTTTTACTTTAATTAAATGTACTACACTTTAAGGAAGTATTAATGCACTATATTAAAACACTTGATGCCATGATCACTACTCTTTATGGGAGTGTTAATGCTCTACATTAAAACACTTGATGCCACTTCTTATCGTATATACTATATATATCGCATCAAAAAAAGGATGACACCCCATCAAATAAAAATTATTCACTGTGTTCACGATTAAAACACCCTTCACGTTTGTATTCCGATATTTGCAAAAAACCCACAACTGTTTTCGAAGGATTATTACTCCCCCCGTCCCATTTAAAGGTACACATTCACTATTTTCTCTGATCAACGTGAATTGTTCTTAATCTTTTACTTTATATATCCAATTTTTATCAAATTTAATTTTATTTGATCAGGTATTATAATTTTTTATGTAATTTCTAAATATGTAAATTTTATTTACTAAAAACAATCTTATTAATTACATGAATCAATATAATTTCTGAATATGAAAATTTTAGTTACTAAAAATAATCTTATTAATTACATGGATCGGTTAACTTTAAGATCAGTCAAACATCGTAAACCGCATGAGAATCAAGTGAGACAGGAGCATTTTGCATTTAGTAAAACCCACAGCCACATGGTTGCATTAAAGTAAGTGTGGCAATTGTAATTTGCACGCAAGCGGACCCCTAGTTTCAGGCTTATCAGCACACTTTTTCACCAAACACGTAATTTCTGCTTTCGCACGCTGCATTGTGTAATAAGCAGAAAAAGTAAGGTTGGAGTTACTTTTCTGGCTGTATTGGCTGAATTTACTGTAGATGACTATTTTAGCTATTTTTACATATAAATTTTTCTTTATTTTATTAAAAAAATATATTCTAAAAATATTTTTTTTAGAACTTCAGCTAATGCAGTCACTTCAGCCAGAACTTCATAAATTTCAACAGAATCAGCCAAAACGGCCAATTTTCATGCTACCAAACGGGCTCATTATCTGCTTTAAAAACGGTGAAAACGGAGACATGGAGTAAGATAAAATTGCAACGCCAAGTAACCTCTCCCTTTATTTTTATTACTTGCGACAGCTATAGTTATAAGCACAAAATCTGTTGTAGCATTATTGGAAGTAACATCTTAAAACTGATACTACCTCTGTCCCACTATGTTTGGGACAAAGGGGCAAACGGGTGTGACACAACTTTTAATAAAAAGTGGAATTGTGTGGTTAGTATTGAATTGACAAAGTATGAATAAAGTAAGAATGAATTGTAACCATCCAAATATTACCAAATATGGTACTCCCTCCGTCCTAGTAGAGTTTGCCAACTTTTCCTTTTCGGTTGTCCCAAAAAACTTTGCAACTTTCATATTAAAGCAACTAATTTATGGTTTTGCACATTTCTCTCTCTTCTGCACAAATCTAAACCACACAGTTTTACTATTCTTATTTCTCACCTATTTTGCACTTGGCAAAGTCCACCGGGACGGAGGTAGTATGAGACAAACTTAATGGGACGGACGAAAAAGGTAAAATGGAACAAAGTTAGAGGAACGGAGAGAGTATACATATCAAAACTGAACATTTTGAAACAGGTGATGCACAACCAAAAATCAACTAGGACCGTATGAAGAAAGATCTTTCTCCATCACAAACACAACTCAATTCAGCTTACATATGTATTCATTTTGGTCTTTACGTGACCATAATGTACAAAGTAATTCTTTTTCTATACTAAGCATCTAAACTCCAAACAATACTTTTCGACTAATGCAGAATATCCCGAGGCCACCATATTTTGTTTAGTACTGAAAAATATGCGGACTAGAAGCAGGAACAGAAGTTGATTCCCAAGGAGTTGATTCCTTGACGTATGAGAATGTGTATGTGGTGGTGCCAATGGCGGCAGGCCTGTACCTTCTGGAACAAGTGGCGGTTCGTCTGCTTGGGAAGTGCTTTCTGAGTTATTATTATTACTGTCATCCCTTGATTTATCATCTGAATTTCCACTTTCATTTTTAGGTTCATTTGGACTTCCTCCGCCATTACCATCTCCATAATTGCTCCTTACCAAGTCAGGTCGTGCTTCAACACCAACTCGTCTCAAGTGCAGCTGTTTTCATTGGGCATTCAACATTGGGGCTTGTTTGATTGGTAGATTTTGAAGCAAAAGAGAGGAGCGTATTGGCTTTTTTTCTAATTTATCTCTATTTTTTAGTCTTAGATGATAACATATCTAATATTCTAATTTCTAAATAATCTACTTTCGTACTACCATCATACGTAAGAATAAATTAATAAAATTTTATTGTTCCAACACCCCTCAAATAAATAAGAGTCAATGCAATGCTGATACCTGAAGATGGAGATTTACTTCGTCGGGCCGT